TATGTTCGTCATAATCACGAATATTCTTGGAACAGGTATGAAAGTCCTAAAATGCGAAACAATCAATCTTTCTCTCTCTCTCTCTCTCTCTCTCTCTCTCTCTATATATATATATATATATATATATATATATATATATATATATATATATATGTATGTATGTATATATATATAGAGAGAGAGAAAGAGGGAGAGAGTTAGAGATAGAGATAGATAGATAATTGATAGATACGTAATACAAATATATATATATATATATATATATATATATATATATATGAAATACAAATATATATATAGATGCAATACATACATATATATTTATGTGTGTGTGCCTGTGTGTGTGAGAGAGAGTGTATGGACAGAGAGAAAGAGTGACAGATATAAAGATATGGCATTTTAATGAGTCATTCAGTAATGAAAATAAATGCAGATTAATAAATGTATCAGTATGAAATATTTATTTTTATATATATATATATATATATATATATATATATATATATATATATATATATATATATATATATATATATATATATACCATTTTAAATATTTTTACAGATGGTACATGAAAAATCTTAAAAATACATGAATAAAATTTAATATAAGCAAAATTTAAATGTATTAATCACGCACAAACGCACATAAAAATACACAAACACGTGCTCATTTATATATATATATATATATATATATATATATATATATATATATATATATATATACATAAAATGTAAAAGTGTGTGTGTATGTGAGAGAGAGAGAGAGAGAAGAGCTAGAAAGAGAGGGTGATACATACTAATGGATGAGAGGAAAAAACATTATTTCACATGCCCATTTCTCTATCTAAAGCGACAGGTTCTGATAAAATTAGTTCAGATGGATTTCATATTTTTCATTTGTTTACTCACGTGTTTATATATATATATATATATATATATATATATGTGTGTGTGTGTGTGTGTGTGTGTGTGTGTGTGTGTGTGTGTGTCTGTGTCTGTGTAAATGTGGATGCACGTGCGTGCGTGTGTGTGCTTGTGTACGCGTGTGCGCTCGTTTACGTGTTAGCATGTGTGTGCTGAGCGATAATTATGTATTTAGAAATGTCTATATTATGCGCAAGTATTCAGAACGTTCATACTGGCAATCATCTTAATTCATAAAATTTTCCTTACCAGATTATATACGTGTGCGTCCGTGTGACACATACTCACGCACACACGCATACACACAGCGGAAGTCAGGAGACTTTTTGTAATTATTTATAAATAGTAAAAGAAAATGAACAGTGACATTTGAGCAAAATAAAAAAAAGAAGATTTAAAAATTCCAGCGTAGAAGTATATCTATAAGCTGATTAGTTTTTACTTGTTTTGAAAACTATTAAGTGTGTGTGTGTGTGTGTGTGTGTGTGTGATTAGTCATGTACGTGCATGTGTGCGTGCATGGATGCGTGCGAAAGTATATATCTATATATGTGTATGAGTGTAAGTAAAGGATACGCTTATTTCTGCACTCTTGTCTTTTTCATGTCAGCAGCATCTGTTTTCTCTTAGGTCAGATTTGTTCAGGCCATTTCCTCTGACCCGATTCCCGTTTTTGCTTTTCTTCTCGAAATGCAGCTGAACATACTTCCCCCTCCAAACCCTCAACCAATGAGCTTTGTTCACGTGAAATTTCTATTTTCAAATTCGTTTTAAGATCTCTTGGGTGATCTCAAAACGACTCTGGTCTCGGAATATCGATACTTTAGATTTATTTGAAACGCCAGTAGCTTATGTTATATACTGATCCTGAAGAAGGTTAAGAAATCCATTGAATGAACTGAACATGTAGGTAACGACGAAGTCTCAGGAACATTGAAAACAAAAATGGCACCTGTACTCAGAATCAGAAAGAGACAATTGAAGTTTCTAGTACACATAATGAGGAAAGAGGTCTTGGAGACTTTGACACTCACAGGATATATTGAAGACGTGTACGAGAGAAAAAATTAGCGAATAACCTATCTAATGAGCTTGTTTAAACTGTTGGCAGAACAGGGATTAGAAGATATACCAAAAAGATCTACAAATGATAGGAAGTAATGGAGGGCTATAGACACCCGCGTTCTGAAGGGACAGGGCACATAGAAGAAGATACAGTTGAGACAGTATTTTATTCTCATACACTCGAGAAAGTGGTGTCACAGGAGGATCCAAATCAACGATGATTTAGTCCGATTAACGAGCTTCTTTTTTATGCCGTGTTCCTTCAAGACGTTGGCTAGGTAGGTTATGCCATGTTTTTTTTAACCCACTTGCCTTAAATCTGTCCTGTGGGTATCAAATTTTCCATGCCCCCTTTCTTCATTTTGTGCAGTAAGAATTTCAACTATCGCTTCCTGATGTTAAGTATAGTGTCCTTTTTGTTTTCATTTTCTCTAAAACTTCGTTGTTACTGACATGTATTCTCAGCATCCTTCTGTAGAATCACGTTTCTCTTGCTTCAAGCCTCTTCTTTATCTTTGAGGAAATTGTCCAGCATTCATTGCCACATAGGAGGACTGATTGTATATAACAGTTAAGTACTCTTTTCTTTGCTTCTAACGACATTTTTCTGTTTCGTAATACTTTTCTTTTCTTTTGGAAAAGCATATTTCGCAATACTAATGCACCTTCGAATTTCAGAGTCGAACTTTCCGTCATTTGTTAAAACATTTCCCAGATATTTAAATTTGTTGTATTTGCTTGATTCTGATTTGTAATTTGCATATTGGATTGTTCCTTTTTGCTAACAACCATACATTGGGCTAGATTTCAAATACTTAGTACACGTGCCATTTTCGTTTGGTTCAATGATAATTATAACGATTTGTTACAAGTATCAGCTACTGTTATCTCATCAACTCAATATACACAAAAATAAAAACTGAATCGTGAATTTGATGACTTAATGACTGTGGGTTCAATCCCTAATTGGAGCAGTGAAGACCTAAACCCATTGGTAACGTGTCGAGCATTACCTCCGAAACAGTAAACAAGAACTAGTCAAGATATCCCAAAAAAGAGAAACGAAAAATCCCTATGAATATAAATAAAAAGTTCGAAATTTCTTGAAGGTTATCCAGGTCGGTAAACACCTGATGAAGGCTGGACGGTACAGCGGCTGAAATGCTATGATAATAACAACAAAGATTAGAACACCTGTACGCGTGTACATAATGTAAGTATCCACGGATATGCCTCTCCGCCAATGAGATGCTAATTTCAGAATGTAGAATTCTGAATATAATGCACCCTAAATACTCAAATTACATAAGTGTATGGGCAGTGACAAAAAATTTAGTAGGAGTAATTCACCTATCGACCGGTTTACACTCCATCCCGTTCTTTTGAGCAGGCGTAGAGGTTTATCTCCTTTTCCCTGTTTAAGACTGGGTTTCCGGTTTCATCTAAAGTCTACTTCCACTCTATACTCCGACCTAACTCTGAAATCTTATTCACTACTTATATATTTATTTGTTCTCGCCCAATAAGAGTGGATGTGGTTACCAACTATCCGGTTCACACTCCTCCCAGGTCTTTTCGAGACGAGTAGATGTTTATCCCTTGTTCTATTTTCCAAGCCTAGCTTAGATGTGGCACAAGGCCGAAATTATGTGGCACCCAGTGAGGACCGAACTCACTATTCAGTCGTAATTGATCTAGCAAGACAAGCTTTCTAACCATTACACCACGTCGAGGTGCCCATGTTTATCCCTTGTTTCTGTTTAGGATTGGGTTCCCGGTTCCTTATAGTGCCTACTTCCACTCTATACACCTAACGTCTCCGACTAAGCTCTGAAATTTTAGTCACTAATTATATATCTATTTATTTACATATCTACTCCTATTGGGAGAGAAGAAAATATTCATATACCATGCGGTTCAAACTTCTCCTGGTCTTTTCAACAAGAAGAGAAGTTTATCCTTTGTTTCCTGTGTATGATTGGGTTTCCGGTTCCTTTTAAAGTCTATTTCTATTCTATACTTCTAAGGTATTCGACTTTATTCACTAATTAAATCTTGACCTCTTTTGCAAGTATCAATTCAATTTCAATTTTGACGTTTTAAAAGTACAATTCAACTTTATTTTTGAAGTTTTAAAAACGTACAATTCAATTTTGATTTTGATGTTTTCCAAGTATCATTTCAATTTCAATTTTGAAGTTTTCACGTAAAATTTAATTTCAAATTTTGTCCTTTTAAAAGTACAATTTTATTTTAATATTGATGTTTTACAAGTACACTTCAGTTGAAAATTACTCGACTCTCCCGTCGAATTCGACATATGAGGGTCAAGCAGATCAGTTCCTAGGGAACCGACAGCCCGATAACAGCACATGAGATTTGATTACAGTGGTGAAGGTTTCGTGCAGGACCATCCACACTTTTTGAAGGGCCGATTACAGAGACCTGGTGCACTACGTACCACAAGGTCCCCAAACGACACTCCGTGGGTTTTGAATTCAGAGTTGTTCTTCTCCTAAACCAGTTGCCATCCAAGGCTATAGAACCCAGTCTGTCCTGCTATTTACTCATAGCTGGAGGGAGAAAAGGATTCACACCTTTCCCAAGGGTATTAACACGTAAGTGAATGTGAATGTAGTGGATTCGACTGACTGATATATATATATATATATATATATATATATATATATATATATATATATATATATATATATATATATATATATATATATTTATATATATATTATATGGATATATATATATATATTTTAAGTTTTCGTGGAATTTTATTTACAAAGTAAAATTGCTCGATTTTCACTATAGAAAATGTGTAGATATAAGAAATGTACACACTAATATCAACACTGAGTGGTGACAGTCTGTTGAACGCAATCTTCAGAAAGAAAGAAAAAAGGAAAGAAAGAATGATTGTAGGATTTTTTAATCAAGGCTCCTAATGAGTGATTTTAATTGCATTTATTTGTATTTGTAGCTATTAATAAGTCTTACGACCATATCACGTTAAAATTCCGGTTCTCGTCCGATCTACAAAGTTAAGCATTTTCGAGTCTGGTCTTTAGCTAGATGGGTGACCACTTGGGAATAGCAAGTGCTGTATGCTTAGACGTGCAGGTGGTATAATGTTTAGCGGCTCGGAATGAGAAATCGGAGAGTTGAGTTCAAATTACAGTCGGGTTTGTTATATTCACACGCAAATACCCTGAGGCGATCATGAATTGAAAAGAGACGTGACTGCCCAGACGTATCACACTCGCCCCCAACTAAAAAGCATTGGGCTAGCATCGTAGAATAGTGGTCCATTCCTCCCCATGAATATGAGGAAGGCCTACATCCATTTTCTTGACAGGCTGAAAAGAATGCTTTATCTCTTGATATTGGACATTGCAAAAAGTGCTTACTTGCCTTAAAAATATCTTTCACAAAATACCCTGATCAACCGTTTATTTTATTTTAAAAAAAATTATTTTGTTTTATTGAAATATTATTATATTAATATATTATTATTTTGTTTTATTGAAATACAATCTTGGTTATTGTCTGATATATATATATATATATATATATATATATATATATATATATATATATATATATATGTGTGTGTGTGTGTGTGTGTGTGCGTGTGTGTGTGTGTGTGTGTGTGTGCGGAAAATATATAGAAAATAGGAAAGAACTCGTTAGGTAAATAATCCAAAATTCTTTAGAATTTTTATTATTTTAAAGAATAGTGCCCGATACAAAAGTAGAGCATAATATAATTATTTATTTAAAATATGATTCCAACACGCGTGTTGGAATCATATTTTAAATAAAATTATATATATATATATATATATATATATATATATATATATATATATATATATATATATATATATATATATATATATAGAGAGAGATGCATGTATATATAAGTGGACAGTGAAATAATCAACACCGTGTGAAGGATGAAACAGACTATCGCCACTTGGTATTGGCTCTTCTATTTATACGCGCTTCGTTCTTGTTATTGAGCACTTTTATCCATAAATATACCATACGTTAAAAATATTTAAATTTAATAACTTAGTTCCTCTGATGATTGTTATCACATGATACTCTGAGTAGCAGATTTTGAAATTATTGAATTTATAATATTTTATTTATGCTCTGCCGACTTTGGTTTTGAGCCCTCAGTTATTTTATATTTTAAACTTTTAGCTTTTAATTCTTAATATCTGTGTCTGTATATATATATATATATATATATATATATATATATATATATATATATATATTTTTACTTAAGTTTTATTTTTAGTGGATATCCATATTTGAGTAGACATTCAAACCGTATATTTATTTATTTTCGTCTACCGGCCTGGATTAATTATATTAAACAGAAATATGCGCTTTCCTTCAAGATTCGAACCTGCGTCCGCAATTGTTATTATTCCGAGAGTGCTTTCGGCTAAATCTATAGTCATTCTCAACGACGTTCTTTTGGTATGGTATATATATATATATATATATATATATATATATATATATATATATATATATATATATATATATATATATATATATATATATATATATATATATATATTGAACAATAAAAAAAATATTAAAAATTAAAATTTTCTGACACACTGGGTTGTAAATTAATATTCTTTCGTTTTTTATTATTATTATTCCATTTAGATTCCTCGACTAGTTTCGTCCGGAATGGCCATCACCTGGAGGAGAAATATTTCTGCTTGCTGGTAGTAGTAAACTACTGAAATGAATGTTTTGCTGGAGAAAATGAACTTTTGTCTGTAGTTTTCATTTGTTCTTTTGTCTTTTTAACATGAATCTTTTAACATTCCTTGTGTTGGTCAAACTGTCTCTTTTAAGTTGTTATTTGAGATAAGAACTGGATGGATCTATGCTTCTCTGAATTCCCGTGGTCATTTTGACAGTTTTATTGGTCCTGGAGAGGGGATGTGTCTCTGTTTAGTGTTTGTGTGTGTGTTATTTGGTTTTTAGGGAGTGAGTGAGTATGATGTGTGTAAGTGTGTATATTCGTGTGGGCGTGTGTATAAGTGTGAGGCCTCCACATCTCCGTAAGCATGTCTGTCTTGTGTGGGTGAGAAATGTGGATAGGTTTTGATTTGTTGAGTTATATATTAGTACTATCTATATTGTTAAATTTATGATTTAGCCCGGCTGCATATTGTGTTTTTAGACGTTGTATCCACTTATTATCATGAGACTCTAAAATCTTTCTAATGTTATCTGCTCTGAACTTTTATATTCTCTCAATTATAGGAGTAAATAGGTTCCACCTCAGTCTTTTCGCAGAATTAGATGTTTCCTGTTCAGGATTTGGTTTCGAGTTCCTTTTAAGACTGCAACGCTTCAAGTCTAGAATTGACTGTTATCTTTCCTACATAGTTCCAAGAACTTTTTGCTTTTTCTTACGCTGATACAACTCCACATAGTGACCATCTTCATTGAGAGGCTCTTGAGGCGTGTATTGGGTAGTACCGACATCTATATTCTTATATTATGTCTCTGTTTTAATTTAATTTAATTTTTTTTTAATGTTTATATGTAAATAACCCAAATGCCTATTTCCATACATGTATAAGTAATTAATTTCTAATTTTCACTCTCATGATTTGGATTACTAAAAGATTTTAATTTGGTTCAATTTCAGTGACATCATTTACGTACACCGAACATCGAAGGGAAACACACAAAAAGGTAACTTCTAAGATTTGTTTAATGCAAAAAGAAAAAGAAAAAATAAAGATTCAAGTTTAAAATTTACAAGGTCGAATCTTTCGTTCGTGTTCAGAATCGAAACTTTAAAAAAAAATGCCAAACACTTTATTGAATTTACAATAAGTAGATCCAGGGCGATACGTCTATTAAAATACACGACGAGTTTCCGTCAAGGAGGTAAACAGAGAGCTATCACTTCTGACACAGAATGAATGTCGGAACAAAATAGGAAAAAATATGATAAACGCCCGGCTGAGTTCTCTCCTCTCTTGCACGGTTTGCCCAATAAATGCTCCTGTCACAATCAGTAAGTTAGAGACAAAAGATTTTGGTGTACAATGGCCAAGACTCGGTCGGCTGTCCGGCAAACAATACAAGATTTGTCTAGTCACGGGGACATTTACTTTAGAAATCAATACATTACAACAGTGAGTACTGTGAATATGAACTCATCATTTGGCCAGTAAAACGCTGGCGACAGACAACGGTAATATTATAAGAATGTAATAGCACAATGGAAGATGGAGTGAATAAAAGAGAAAGAGTGTGTGTTGTGTGTGTGTGTGTGTGGAAGAATGAATGAGTCGGAGATGCAAAGGGGTTGGGCAAAGGAGGATATTTCTGTATTCAGTTGCTGCTCAATGAAAAGTCGGCAATTTAGTATGGTATCAAAAGAGAAACGTTAGGTGGTAGCAGAAATCTGAAAGGGTATGACAATGGGAATGCCGACGGGTCGAGAAAAGATACAGACAGACTGGCGGTATCCGACAGGAGAGAAAAAAAATTAAAAGAGTTGGTGTCATTAGATAATAATAAAAATGTATGCGTGCTTTCGTATGTATGCATGTTTATAGCTATGTGGGTACGTGTGTGTGTGAGTGTGTGAGTGTGTGTATGTGTGTATGTGCTAGTGTTCTGCGATATCTACATTTTTTTCTATATTACGTATACAAGATTTACATACGACGAAATGCACACATACACACACAGACAAATATATTGCAAATTCTGACCCTGTATAAAAGGAATTGTTTTTGGAAATCTAATAGTTAAGAATTGGAGAAATGTACAGCCACTTTATATATATATATATATATATATATATATATATATATATATATATATATATATATATATATATCAACGTTATTTTAGTAGATGCAATTTTGAAATTGAGTAGACATCAAAATTATTTTAAACATTGAAATTTTTTCAATTGGCCCAGATTTCGATTAATTTCCCCTGATTCAAATAACATTGTCGTCTATTCAAATACGTATGTCCACTAAATTACCGTTTCTTTTAATAATAAATGAGGTCAGATAAAAGATTATTACACACACACACACATATATATATATATATATATATATATATATATATATATATATATATATATATATATCCACGCAAATAAAATTAAATATTTACTTATCTGTTCCTACAATGGGTTTTTTGGAGATAACATCCACTTGTAGAAGACATGATTATAAAAGTGAATATATTTGCAGAAATTATTATTATTATCAAATGATAATAAATATTATTTCTGCACATAAATTCAGTTTTAAAATCAAATTGCATAGAGAATGAATGTAAGAATAAGGAAAAATGAATGAACATTTAATTTTCTTTGTTACTATCAATGCTCTGTCTCTTGATATTGAGCACTTTGATTATAAAGAATGCTTGTCTTAAAAGCGTTATTTTCCAGGAATGAGAGTTTTTTTTTATTCCTCTTTATGTTTTTTTCGAAATACAGTCTGTGTTAGTTATTGATAGTTAAATAGATATAATGATAGACTAACAGACAGAGACAGACAGACAGATAGATATATAAATGAATAATTTCTGTAATACATCTAGAAGCAAGTATAAATGCCTAATTCGTAGAAATGTATTACATGAATGTTTCTTATCTCAAAAATGTGCAAAATTTGTATATTTTTTGCATGCAGCGTTTGTAAATGTAATACCACCAGTTCAAGAAAGAAAACATTCTTTTGCACTGGTAGTGCCAGGTTGCAGTTCCTTTATAATGACAATAGTGAACTTTTCGAATGAATAAGAAAAAGAAACGATTATCCACGTGAAAATCTTAATCTAAGGATGACTCCAACCAAAAGCGATCGGTGGAACGCATACATAATAAATCGGAAATATATATATATATATATATATATAATACAAGGGGTGCTGATATGTTCTAGGCTCGTCAAAGAAGGAATTAAAAATATCTGGGGTGTGGTCATTTGGTCAACTTTAGCATGAAAGTGTCGCGAGTCGAATTAGCTAAGTGTAGGATAGTCGGTGTTGATCAGCTTCTCCCTATTTCCTCTTCAGCCTT